GGAGTCAGTCAGCAAATGGTAAATGCCTGTATTTATATAGTGGCTTCTAGGGTTCTACAACCTCCCAAGGTACTTTACAACTAATCAGTCACCCAACGACTCACACACATTCACACGAGCAGGAACGTGATAATTATTTATAACGTTTACACTGAAATACACTTCATACAGGCTGGAAAAAACCTTTTCAAGGCCCAAATAAATCTGAAGTCCAACTGGTTATGATTAGAAATTTTCAGAGAATTTAGGAAGTTCACCATTTGATAATTTGCTTTGTTTTTATTAACAGGCATCATGATTCCTGTGATGGAATTTCGTCAGTTCTCTGAACAGCAGCCAGCGTTCAGAGTTCTGAAGCCGTGGTGGGACGTGTTCTCTGAATACCTGTCTGTGGTTATGCTCATGATCGGGGTCTTTGGATGCACTCTGCAGGTCGGTAGCTTTACTTTACCTTGTTGTTTCCAAATACAGCAGCCGTGGTTCCGATGAAATCCTCTTCTCTCTAATACTGAGGCACAACTATAATAAATGACCTCCCCAGTGAAAGCTTTCGATGGAACGTGGGGCTGCTCTGCCTTCTGCTTTGGCACAAGCTCAAAAACACTCATTCTTGGCTTTTACAGCCTGGTCTGAGTGCAGCAATGAAAGCATTCACCCAATCAGGAGTAAAGCTGTGGAAACATTCCCCCACCCTCCGCTGTTTAGTAAGCATTTAGACTCCAAACCCCCAAGGCCTGTCCCTTGACTTCTCTCTCTGTTTGGAGCTGCAGCATTTTTTTGGGGGTGGGGGGAGGTTGTCGTTAGAGTCCGTTGTGTAAATTCTGGAAATAACATCACAACATTTTCGGAGAAACTACTTACAGAATATTTACCATGTCAGAAACAGTCATTGTTTTTCCCTAAACCTCTCTGTTTGGATATGATCTTGGAGTTCTCAAATTGAGTGGACAATTAAATGCAGCCGAGTTTACTTTATGGGTCGGAGCTGGATCAACATGCAGTTTTTGTGTAATTGCTTGTCATTATGCTGCCTGACAAGTCATTTAGAGACAGAGAGAAACAGATTGTAATGCAGTATAGTGTTTCATGTGCTGCGATGCTCCCTCTTAACTCCTAACAATGATGTCATTTAACTTCCGATAGTTAGGAATAGGCTTCTATCTCTTGCACTAGTTTTAAATGATGCAGCAAAGACTTAGGCTGAGTGTCTGGCTTTTAAAAAGCTACATGCACACAGTGTACAAAACCTCCCTCTTTAAAAGTGTTCTACCGGTGATTTAACGCACCCATTTCCTGCTTTAACATGGCCGTCAAGCAGCTGCTTTTCATTATTTGCTTTCCAGATAAACATTTGTTGTTTACTCACACAAATTTGTCCCTACTATCTGATGCATCCATTTGCACTAGGGCTGTCGCGATTGAGGAATTCCCCCTGCGGTGAGTCAGGGCAGCTCAATATTGCGATATGCGATATTATTGCACCCCGTTTTTATTTATGTACTTAGCAAATGTGTTTGTTAATTACTAAACTCATGGCAATATTTCCTTTGAAACATTGTGCTTACACATTTAAAAAAAGTTAGAAAAAAATACATGGCCATTTTTAACACTTTATTGAATGCAGATCAAAGGGCAGTAACGGCATTCTCTGACTGAACTTAAAAACAACATTCAGGAGGTTTAACTTTGAAATGCAAATTTGGCTGCAACATCTAACAGAAATAAAAAAAAAGTGCCCTACTATCTCCTCGATCAGCGCGGACTTTACCTCTCAGCATGCGCTGTCGCGAGATTTAATCAAGTGCGGTAATTGCGGTGGCACGTCATGCAGCGCGGTGGGTTTCTTAATATCGCGATATATTGTTCTTGCGATTATTGCGACAGCCCTAATTTGCACACAAAAAAAAACAGGTTACAGACGTAAGCCGTAATAACAGTGAATTAATATACACTTTAAAAAAATAAACGCACTCACATAGAACTAAAGAAACTTGGTTTATTCTGAGATAGTGTAGTTCTTTATTAAAATGATCCTGTTGCTTTGAATTAAAACCTTGTCGTTCTTTGAATGAATAATTGTTGCCAGCCATGTTTTATTCCAGAGAACCAAACGAAGATCTTTAATCAATTTTCATCTATCTTAAGTAGGGCTGCTCAATTAATCGAATTTTAATCACGATTACGATCTGAGTTTTGAACGATTATGAAAACAAAACAAGTCGATTATTTGCTCCTCCCACTTGCGCTGCCCTGAGTTACAAATGAAGCGCTCCTCCCACAGTGTTGCCAACTTGGCGACTTTGACGCTATTTCTAGCAGCTTCTCAGACCCCCTTCTCAGAGCCGGCTCCCTGTTGGATTAACCAGAGTGACACACACACCGCACCTGCGGACTCCTGAGCCGATAAAAACAGTTAAATGTGCGCGTGCGGCGCGCTAAACACACGTGCAGCTTGCCCCTGATTGCTGTGAGACCGGGTTGGGGGGTGCAGCTGTGGTTGGGATAATTATTACATTAACTGATGGACCTGTAAATAAATAGTTAATAAATAAGGTAGAACTAACTTCCTCACGCTGATAAATAATAACTAATCTCTCTGAGGACACGGTGCTAGTGCACTCTCCTACAGCACCTTGACACGACTAAATGCATATTATGCAACATTTTGTGAACATCAATTTATTTGCATTTATTTGTTATAAATGCCACTGTATAATTCTTGCTGTCAGTATTTGCAAGATATTGGTATTTGGTTCTGTACTGGTTAGACTTAAATGAGTTAAACCAAGGTCTATAGCCCTTGGGTCATAGACTATGAGCTATAAGTATATTGGTCTTTTTATACTAGGAATCAGGAGTTATTTTAGTGATCATCTTGTTTATTTTTGTCCTAATTGTGCCCTGAGCAATTTTATGACAGAATAAAAACAAATAAAATCAACATAAATTGAAAAATCTTCTTAAATAATCGAGATCTCAGTTTCAGTCACCATAATCGTGATTATTATTTTTGCCATAATCGAGCAGCCCTAATCTTAAGTAGAGTAATAGTGAATTCAATGGTGAGCAATGTTGCACACTGCATTTGTTTTACTGTTAAATCATAATTTTGTCCTAGTTTAATACATTTTAACTAATATTTTTCAATTTAATTCAATTTAGTTTTATTTATATAGCACCAAATCATGACAAGAGTCGTCTCAAGGCACTTCACACAGTAAACATTCCAATACAGTTCAGTTCATTAAGCCAATCAGTAAAAAGTTTCCTATGTGAGGAACCCAGCAGGTTTCATCGTCTTTACTGTAATCATCATAATAGGCAAGCATGTAGCGACAGTGGAGAGGAAAGCTGCTTTTTACCAGGATGAAACCTTCAGAGGATCCTGCAGCGTTATAGAAAACTGCATCCGCGCTTTGTGAAAACATCATCATATAATCAATTTCCCTCTGGGATTAATAAAGTATTTTTGAATTGAATTGAATCTTTTGCAGGGAGAACTAGCACGTTGTGCAAATGGCATTTCTAAACCGATCTTAATCAGTTTCTACCTCTTGCATCTCAGTCGCTCTGCTTTGGCAAATCATCAGCATTTTCTTATCCATCACAACATCATTGTCATATAACCCACATAACCTCCAATGAGTGTTATATTTACTTGGTCAAATCTTGAAAATAACACAGTACACACTCTTTGTATTGTAAAATCTCACATGATCATTTAGCTCAAATAACGTGGGATTTTAGCAACCTGTGAACCAAGTTGAGATACTGACTAAACAGATCATGTTGGAGCATTTGTTTAGAATATGTTTGTCTAGTTATAACTTTGGTAAAAGTTAACCGATACCTGGAACCGATACCAATGCAGTTGCTTGAAAATGGCTTCACTGTAACTTGTCATTTCTTTTCACCTAATATTTTAGTTTTGTGATGATTTCCATTCATATATTTTACGTTTTATCTACCTCAGTCTTTTCCTGTTGAAAGCAGAGAAGAAAATAAAATCTGTATTTCAAATCATTGCATTTTTTTGTGTGGTAGAAGTATCGGTATTGGTAATCGGTATTGGCGAGTACGCAGATCCAAGTATCGGTATCGTATCGGTTTGGAAAAAAGTGGCATCGTTGCATCCCTAGTTATAACATGCTAATCAATAAAGAAAGTAACATGGAAAACCTGCAGGTATCCTGGAGAGTTTAGAGAGGGATGTTAGCTGTAGATCCTTTGGGTCTTGTGGCTACTGGGATAGATCTCTGGATTGCAGTTGCTTCCCAAAGATGCCACTCAACCACATCAGATTGCTATCTAATGAGTCTGTTAGCCAGATGAAAAATTACGGCCCTGTCCACACGTAGCCGGGGATCTGCCAAAACGTAGATATTTTTCTACGTTTTGGCCTGTCATCCACACGAAAACGGAGTTTTTTCACACGAAAACGGATCTTTTTAAAAACTCCGGCCAAAGTGAAGATCTGCGTTTTCTCCGTTTTGGGTGTCTGCGTGTGGACAGACAAAACCGGAGTTTTAAGGTCCGCAACGTCACTTTCCGCGACAAAAAATGCTGACATCACGTGTGCGACCTGTGTTTACACTAGCCGACAGCATGGATGCCCTCAGAGCTGCGCTCGCTTTATCAATTGTCCAAGCGCTTTTTGCGTGTTTGTTTTTGCACGAGGAATTACTGCTCCTTGTGGAAGACCACAGACGAAGGACGAGGTTAAGAACGGGGGAAGTACTGCCGCCTACAGGTCTGGCATGTCCTTAACAACGTATTTATCCGGGTACGTGTGGACAGAGTTATTTTTTAAATAGAGGCGGTGTGGATGCAAGTTTTTGGAGGGGCCGATATCCGTTTAAAAAAAAAAACCGGCTACGTGTGGACTAGGCCTAAAGCTTTGGCTGTGGTCTCTGGGTCATTTTAACCAGATTTTGAGAGGCCCACTGCACTCTTGTAGAGTCTGGCACCATGGACAACTGTTGCCATGTGTGGAGTTTGACTGGCTTGTAAAAATCCTTAGGTAGCAGCTGTGAAAATAAAGTCTACATGAAATGCAGCCTGCAGTTTTTCGCAGAACCCTGCTCTATACTATTTTTACCTGTCAGTGTTAGTAGTTCGGAGTTTATTTAAAACGTTTACTCAGATTTAAAAACATCATTAGCTGTTTGGTCACTGTTTGAAGACTCAGTTTCTGGATGGGCTCTAGGACCTCCTCTTCAATAATCCCAATGAAAACATTGTTGCATTGGTCAGAGAAAGAAGAACTCACCTGTTTCTGAGTGAAAACATACTAAAGCGCCCAAGAACATATCCACACCTGCTCACAAACCTCACCAGGGAGATTTCAAATGTAAGCCATTATCATGACTGAAATAACTAACATTTTATGATGAAATAGTTATTAGTTCAGTTTGTTACTTTGGTAGAAGTTTCTGTATTAATGACCACATTATTTTAAGCCTACACTAAGCATACGATTTTCCAGCAATTATTGGGGCAGCAGTAGCTCAACAGGTTGAGCGGGTTGTCCAGTAATCAGAAGGTTGCAGGTTCGATTCCGGCTCCGGACAGAGAATTCTGCTGTTGTGTCCTTGGGCAAGACACTTAACCCACCTTGCCTGCTGATGGTGGTCGGAGGGACCGGTGGCGCCAGTGCTCGGCAGCCTCGCCTCTGTCAGTGCGCCCCAGGGCAGCTGTGGCTACATCGTAGCTCATCACCATCAGTGTGTGAATGTGTGTGTGAATGGATGAATGATACACTGTAGTGTAAAGCGCTTTGGAGTCCTTACTCTGAGAGGCGCTATACAAGTGTGGGTCATTTATCATTTATCATGGCATCCGATGCAGGGAGACATTAGCTAGATCACTAGAGATTATAAAACCTCGATACAGACAAATCTGCCATGTGATGTGACTGTAGTTAAATTCTATTAAAGTGGTCAGGGAAAGCTTTTTATATTTTAGTCTCTCCAGCCGAGCAGCAAGAGCAAAGGATGCATTACAGGCATTGTAAAATTGACTAAGTGGTGCTTGAAATGAGGCAGGCATTTTTGTATCCTTTTTGCTTGTGGCTTGCTTTTTAAATAGCTTTTGCTATTGTGACTAGTGGTTATCAATGCAAAAATACTTGACAGAACGTCTAAAATACAAGACTTCTTGATCCGACCATCCCCTTTATTATCTCAAAACCTAATCGAGACACAATTCCTTTAAAAAGAGGATTACAAGAATGAAATTATGATTGGTGAATATACTAATACTAACAATACAGTTACAAAAATAATTATTATAGAAACACATTTAAACCACTGAAAACAGTAATGCTGCTAGCAAATTTTTCAAACATTGAAAATAACTGTCCTTGTGATATCATCAACTATTATACATATAATCAAAATAAACACACCATTCTCATGCATTTCATCCCTATATCTGTTAATATCAATACTATCCAAAAATTAAATAATGTTGTTGTACTATGATATTTTTTAAAACATTAATTTAAATAAATTACAGACACATTATATATATATATATATATATATATATATATATATATATATATATATATATATATATATATATATATAAATTGCAGAACCCACACATTTAAGAACCACACTAAATAAAACAACAACAACAACAATAATAATAATAATAAGATATTTCTATAGCGCCTCTCAAGATAAAAATCACGAGGCGCTACACAAAAACAAAAAATGTAAAAATATTTAAAAAAATTTAGAAAATGTTTAAAATATATTTAAAATAAGCAAAAAATAGGCAATTGTGATTTAAAAACATGTAAAGAAAGAGAGAGAGTGAACAGGAAAGAGGGAAATCAGTGGATCCTGAGGAAGGTGGAATAGGTGGGGAGAGCAGAATAAAGAGAGAGAGGTGAAGAAGGTCATACAAAAGCCAGCTTGAACAAGTGAGTCTTCAGCTGCTTTTTAAAGGAGACCACTGAGTCCACTGATCTCAGGCTCAGGGGGAGAGAGGTCCAGAGTCTGGGGGCCACAGCAGCAAATGATCTGTCACCTTTGACCTTTAGCCTGGTGCTGCACAACCAGTAGGCTTTGATCACTGGACCTCAGGGACCTGCTGGGGGTGTAGGGACTAAGAAGATCACCAATGTAAGATGGTGCTCGTCCATGTAAGGCCCTATAGACCAGAACCAGGATCTTGATATGAACCCTGAAGTTGACTGGCAGCCAATGAGCTATGACTCTTATGAAACTCAAGGTGTAGGGATGGTGTTGCTGCAGAGTCTTTAGGCTCCATTCAGTCCTGCTATATTGAAGCACAGAGAGAAACTCAGGATAACATGATGAATGCTCCTGTGTAGACTTGTTTAGAAAACTGCCACATGAAACAAGGTTGGCCTTTGAGCTTCTTACATCTGTTTAATCACTTCTGCTAAAGAAGTTCAACAAAGAATCAGTTATGAGTCACTTATGTGACATCAGCGAGTGCAAGTTTGTTTAAGTAGACTTTTAGATATATGGAAACTGTATTATAGGGCTTTATGACGTAGGAAGACTGAAAAGCAGTGCTCGGAGGGAAGTCAACTTGAGAAGCTACACTAGTGTCAAGTAGTCTGTAAAAAAAACTCATTACGCTTTCATTTAATTCAATTCAAGTTTATTTATAAAGCGCCAACTCACACCAAGAATCGTCTCAAGGCACTTCACACAGTAAACATTTCAATACAGGTCAGTTCGTTAAGCCAATCAGTAAAAAGTTTCCTAAATAAGGAACTCAGCAAATTGCATTGAGTCCTTGACTAGTGTCAGTGTCTTTACAGCAATCCTCATACTAAGCAAGCATGTAACGACAGTGGAGAGGAAAACTCCTTTTTAACAGGAAGAAACCTCCAGAGAATCCTGGCTCAGTATAAGCAGCCATCCTCCACGACTCACTGGGGATGGAGAAGACAGAGCACACACACGCATACACCAACACCAGCTCACCCACACACAAACACACACACAACATATACAGTAATCCCTCGTTTATCGCGGTAGATGCGTTCCAGACCTGGCCGCGATAGGTGAAAATCCGCGAAGTAGGGACTCCCAGCATGCCCCTCGCGGGGATTCCCTCCACGTCGCACCTACGTCACAAACCGCGGCTATAAACGGAAGTCGCCTTTCCAGCTCACCACTCAGTCATTGTTTCTTCAGATTCATGATCAGAGTTTCCAACCTAGCGATCAATCCAACGAACTATCAGCTCATAGTAAGTTATCTTACTTCTGGAAAGCCCGGCATTTCCGTGTCACTTCGTTGACGCTCGAACGCTCGGGGGGTTCCTAGATCAGCCGGCGTTTCACCGACGCTATCACTTCCGCGTCTGTGAAACCACGCTCCCTACAAGCTCAGCTCCCGAATCCAGCCGACCTGTCTGACATACAGTTCTATATTGAATTATCGTATGATCACATTCTCTTTTTGTGGGTAAAACTCAAGAAAAAAATTTTTTTTACTTGTTTTTTTTTTTAGTTTTATTGCAAAAAGTGCATTTTATGATGAAATTGATGAAAAAAAAACAAGAATTTCTTGATATTTCGCATAGAAAAATACCGCGAATCAGTGAAAAATACCGCGAATCAGTGAAAAATACCGCAAAACTGCGAATTCCCCCTGAAAAATGCTCCAAAGAAAAAATCCGCAAAGCAGCGAATCCGCGATGAACGAACCGCGAAATAGCGAGGGATTACCGTATACCAAGTAATGTTGCTATGGTTACATTGTTATTTCTTAGTAAATATTCTGTTTGGTGAGAGATAAACGTTATTGTATTTATCCTAGTGAATCTATAATTAAAGGGGAAACTAGTAGTAGCACATTCAATGTCAAAGAAAGTAAAATGTTATTTTCAGGAGAGGGAGGATGTTTAAGTGGTTAGCAGCAGTGTTCAAGCCGAATTTAATCATTTATAACAATCAGGGTTCCAGAACCAAGCAAATGAGTTATGGTTTAAGCTGTAATGAGTCCTCTATGGTTACTTATCATGCAATTTTCTGTCTCCAACAAGTCACCAGCAGTCACCGCCCAGTGAGTCTGGTGAAAGAAAACTGCTGAAACATGACACTAATAAAAATCATGTTACTGCTGCTGAAAAAAGCAAGCTAAAACTTGATATTTAAAATAAAAAAAGTGGTTAAACAGAATGTATAGTTGGGGGAAAGAGATGATCTTACTGTTTTCTTACATTTCGTTGCAGGTCATGCAGGATAAAATCATATGCCTTCCACTGAGAATGTCATCTGTTTCACAGAACATCAGTGAAGTGGGAATGAAGTCACTGTTTCATTTGCAGCCCAACACATCAGCTGTGCCAGAAGAAATGACAGGCCGGAAAACCTATCTGGATTTGCAACAATACAGTTTTATCAATCAGATGTGTTATGAAAAAGCTCTCCATTGGTACGCCAAGTACTTCCCCTATTTGGTTCTCATACACACTCTAGTTTTCATGGTATGCAGCAACTTCTGGTTCAAATTCCCTGGCTCAAGTTCCAAAATAGAGCATTTTATCTCAATGCTTAGCAAGTGTTTTGACTCTCCCTGGACCACTCGCGCTTTGTCCGAAGTGTCAGGAGAAAACCCAGAAGAAAAGGACCATAAAAAGAGCAGTACATCTAGGTCCAGTACTGGTGTGTCTCCTGAAGAAGGAACTCTTCAGAAAGCGCCGTCTCTCCATTCTATCCCAGAAAGGCTTGTAGTGGAACAGCCAACTGCCAGTGTCCTCGATAAAAAAGAAGGCGAACAAGCTAAAGCTCTTTTTGAAAAGGTGAAGAAGTTCCGACTACACGTTGAAGAAGGAGATATCCTCTACCTTATGTATGTTCGTCAGACTGTTTTCAAGGTGATCAAATTTCTTGTGATCATTGCTTATAATAGCTCTCTGGTGAACAAAGTGAGGAACAGAGTGCGTTGTGAAGTTGAGGTCCAGGAAATGACGGGTTATAAAGAGTTTCTGTGCAATCACACCATGGCTCACCTGTTTTCTAAGCTGTCTTACTGTTACCTGTGTCTGGTTGCGGTCTATGGATTAACGAGCCTCTATACCTCCTACTGGCTGTTTTACCGTTCACTGAAAGAATATTCCTTTGAGTATGTGCGTCAGGAAACCGGAATCAGTGACATCCCAGATGTCAAAAATGACTTTGCTTTCATGTTGCACATGATTGATCAGTACGACCCACTCTATTCAAAACGATTTGCTGTTTTTCTCTCTGAGGTCAGTGAGAACAAACTGAAGCAACTTAATCTCAACCATGAGTGGACTGCAGACAAACTACGTCAGCGACTTCAGACAAATGCAAATAACCGACTCGAACTTCAGCTGTTCATGCTCCCTGGTTTACCAGACACTGTCTTTGAGTTGACTGAGCTACAGTCATTAAAACTTGAAATCATTAACAATGTCACGATCCCAGCCTCAATTTCTCAACTGGAAGACCTCCAGGAGCTTTCGCTTTTCCAGTGTGCTTTGAAGCTACATACAACTGCTACTTCCTTCCTTAAGGAGAATTTGAAAGTGCTTCGCGTGAAGTTTGATGACAACAGGGAACTTCCCAACTGGATGTATGGTCTACGCAACCTAGAAGAACTGTATCTCACTGGGTCACTCAGTCCTGATGCTTCAAAAAATATAGTTCTTGAGTCGCTGCGTGAGTTGAAAGGCCTGAAAATTCTCTACCTTAAGAGCAATTTGACTAAGATCCCGCAGTCAATCGTAGATGTGGCCAGCCATCTTCAGCGGCTGTTTTTACACAATGACGGCACTAAACTAGTAATGCTTAACAACCTGAAAAAGATGACCAATCTGATAGAGTTGGAGCTAGTGCATTGCAATCTGGAACGCATTCCACATGCAATCTTCAGCCTGACAAGTCTGCAAGAGCTCGACCTGAAAGAAAATAACCTTCGCTCTATTGAGGAGATTGTCAGCTTCCAGCATCTTCGAAAGCTCACTTGTCTTAAACTTTGGCACAATAGTATCATGTATATCCCAGAGCATATCAAAAAGCTCAGCAGCCTGGAACGCCTCTACTTCAGCCACAACAAGATCGAGATATTGCCCTCACACCTGTTCTTGTGCACCAAGCTGCGCCATCTTGATCTGTCCAACAATGATATCCGATTCATCCCTCCAGAAATTGGGGTCCTTCAAAATCTGCAGTATTTCTCGGTCACATGTAACAAAATTGAAATCCTACCAGATGAACTGTTCTTCTGCAAAAAGCTCAAAACCTTAAAGCTGAGCAAGAACTCGCTGTCCATACTTTCTCCAAAAATATCTAACCTTGC